AAAGCACCTGCTGGATGGATCCCTCTGCACAGAAGAAAATGCCAACCTGATCTAGACGAAAAAGAAGAAGGGTTTAAAGAATCTGCAGTAGGAGTGAGCAACTAAAATGTCCAGGTACAAAGCTGGAAAGAGAAAAATATTTCACTAACAGACTAAGTTCACCCTGCAATCCAGAGATGTGAAACAGCTTTTCCAGGAGTTCACTAGCTGTCCCTAGCAACCAAGCTGTGGCAGCACACGTGTCATGTTCTGCTGAGACCCCAGCTAAACGCTGAGCAGGCCAGCAAGTGCCAAGGGCTCCATCTTGCTACACAGGACGAAAGCAAAGTCTAGGAAAGAGCAAGTGGAAGGGAGGGTGGGGAAGCTGTGCCTGCTCACCATGGCTGAACATACAGAGGGCAGAGAGGATTAGTGGGAAAGTAGGCAGCCACATAACAAAGGAAAAAGGATCATGGAGTGTTTTTTTTTCCTTCCAAAGTAGCAAGTCTGGAAGGCGTAAAGTGCTGAAGGAGAGGAGCTGTGTGAGAGAAGACACGAAGGAGAGTAATTTTGAATCAGGTCCTAAATGCAGAGGATGAAGCACAGTGCCCACATCTGTCTCTGGGTGAAGAACTTTTTAAAAATTACTTTGAGACCACGTTGCTTCTGACATCAGTGTGTTTTGCAAAGAAAGGGACAGCTGATGTACATCTCACGGACTGTAATTTCACTGCAGAGATAAGACAGGAGCAGAGCCACTGCAAAGCTGTGCATGGAGAATCGCAGAGCTGCAGCCTGCTATTGTGCACTAGAGATTGGATTTTGAAGGATGATTTGTTGAATCCTATCCGAGATGATAACGCAGAGTCCTCCCCCTGGTGGCAAGTAAAGAAAGCCACAGAGATGGCTTTTTTAATCGTGGCAATCTAAGGCTATAAATGAATGAGCATCAGACAGGTCCTATTTTTTATTAGGTCAACTGATACAGCTTCGGGGGGGGGGGGGAAGACAACTTTTGCAAAACACAAATCCTGTTTTAGGACTTACATAGGTTTACTTTGAAGGCTGATACAACTTGAGAATAGTTACCGAGTTCAATTCCGTCATCAATTTATTGCAAGAGAAGCAGAGGATGAAGCCTGTAGAATAACTTTCAGTAGCTGACCAGGGTAATTGTGATGTGCAACAATCTCATTATTTCCACCGAGTCCTCATCTTTCAGTGGCCAATTGAGTTTTGGTCTCTAAAATCAGACACCAGGCGGACTGGGATGCAAAGTAAAATTCTTAATGCTACTGAACAGTAAAAATGGACTCAGTAGACAAGTTGGGTTTATTATATATACAATTTTCTCCACTTAAGGTCCTCAGATAGCTCTTCAAAAAATATCTGTGGAAAATGTTCTCTGTGTTTGTTACGGGAAGTTACAGTAAGTGCCTTTGGGACAGGAATTTCTGCTTTAGATGACTAATTTGGTGGATGAGGGGAGAGCAGCAGATGTAGTTTATTTTGGCTTTATTATGGCTTTCTACACTGTCTCCCAAAGCATCCTCACAGACAAACTGATGAAGTACAACCTAAATAAGTGGGCAGCGAAGTGGATGGAAAACTGACAGAACTGCTGGGCTGAAAGGGGCTTATCATCAATGTAGTACCCTTGGCTGGACTGAAAGACCTTCATTAACCACCTGGATGAACTGACAGAGCCCACTCTGAGCGAACTGGCAGTGAAACAAAGCTGGGGAAGAGTAGTTGATAACCAGATGGTTGTGTTGCTATTCAAAAGGATCTGAACAGGCTGGGGAAACGGGCAGGGAGGGTTGTCAGGAACTTAAAGAAAGGGAAATGCAAAGTCCTTCACCTGGAGAGGAATAACTTGTGCAACAGGAGTCTGGAAAACAGCTTTCCAGAGAAAAATATGGGAGTCCAGGTGGAGAACAAGCTGACCATGAGCCAGCAATACACCTGTGTGGCAAAGAAGCCAACTGCATCCTGGGCTGCCTTAGGAAAAGTGTCCCCACTAGGTTGAGAGGTGATTTTTTCCCTTCTGTTTTCCTTTTCAGTTCTAGTAGATAAACACTAGGTATCACCTTGTCCTTGACAGCATAGGCAGTGTAAGAATGGTTGAGTTGTAATGACAAGGAATCTTCTTCAGCTGTGACAGTCAACAGAAACAAAAACATATCCCCTCCCGCTTAAGAACAGAAAGTTATGCTCTTTATCACAAAACACTCTCTGCATGTTTATCTTTAAAAAGGTTTATTTTTTTTTTCCACCCTGGTACAAAAATACAGTACAATGTGATGGCAAGGCATTCGCCAGAAAACATTCAAAGAATAAAAGGGGAAACCCCATAAAGCTTCAACATAACCCACCCTCACTTGATGGAACAATCAAAAGGTGAGTGCCTAAGGAAAAAGTTAAATTTCTGTCCCAAGGCAAATAAAAGTGAATCACACAGTTTTACACAAAAATACATTTGCAGAGCTGATAATTTCACATGCTACTTGGACATTCATGAAATGTATTCTACTGGGTTTACTGGCAGAATTTGTGTTTTGGGATATCTAGAAAATACCTGGCCTAGGAAGATGCCCCTTTCATGGTAATGCCCAGTAAAAACAATGGGATCACATAATACCAGTGAGAAAAGAGGGATTCGACCCTGATTAGGTGTCAAAATGTTGGCTGCTCCGAATTTTTCCAATCACACTGTTTGCCCTCAAATAATGTTCTTCCCTACACACCTCCCTTTTAACACCAAATATTAGTGGCTGCTCAAACACACAAAGGGACGTGTTTGCACATTACCTAGTTGCAAATAACCATCACAGTGCAAACTTCCAGGCAGGAGGAGAAAACACTGTGACTGATGCATGTGTGTGAACTCCAAACAGGGTTTACCCTAACATTGTTGACAGGAGAATTATGTCCCTTCAGTGCAACTACATTCTCGGTCTGTTCAATCGTTTCCTTTTAGAGTTTTGAAGCAGTGAAAAAGCATCATTTAGTGTATCCATTATAGTTCATCTCCCAGGTGCTTTTGTTTGAAAGCATCACCTGTCAGCTTCTCCTGGGCCTCCTTCATCCCTTGGACAACTGAAAGATTAGACAAGAAGACACCAACTATTAATCCCACGATGAAAACATCAAGGTGGACTGGTAATGAAAGCATTTTAAAACAACAGTTATAGAATGTACATCTACAAATTAATCTGTGGGGGAAAAAAAAACAACAACCAAACAAAAAACATCTACAGTCCTGCATCATTTCCTCAACTATGTGTAGCTGGATCATGCAAATTCCATGCTTTTCCATGCCACAACTGGAGACAAAGTTCAGGTCCTACAGACATAAGGTGAATTATGATTCTGAATACGGTTCCTCAGGTGTTAGAGAACCACTCACTCACACTGTAGCTAACAGCTCCCAGTTATGCTGTAAAGCACCATCATTTTTCTCCACTAAACTAAAACTAATTCACTAAAAATGAGGTTCAACTACTTTGCACATACCTTGGTCAGCATTGGTATAGAAATACTTGTAGCTGGGGTTTCCTCTCTCATTTATGATTTCTGGATGGACTTTTCCACTGGGATCTATGAAACAAGAAACCCATCAGGAAATGCAGGTGGTAACAATAAGAACCCAGTCCCGAGAGTGGACACAAGAGCTGTGGATGCCCTACCCATGAAAAGGATTCTGGGAATATAACTTCCATCAGGACTAAAGGCTTCATCCTTGGGCTCTTCGTCATCCTACCAAGGCAAGACAGAAGAGAATGAATGTATTAGCAAGGTATCTAACAAAACACAACACTGCTTTTTAAAGAAACAAGTTATTGCCTTCAGATTCCTTTTACCCTGAGCAATTAACATCTTGAACAGGTGCCAAGTAACTGCAGGATCTTCCACTCTCAAAGGAAAGTATGTTATTTTTACCTAAACAAGTATCCTCTGTGAAAATAATAATATTTTTTCTGTCCTGTTAATTTGCATTACACACCCCACTTTGGTGTAGGAATGTTTGATAGGTAATGAGAGAATAAACATAAATTCCTTTATTGCAGCAACAGAATCACACAAGATACAAATTGTTAAAGAGACAGTGGCAGAGAGCCAGGTTTATAAACACAATTAAAATAACCAGACTGAAGAAAAGTCTTTTTAAAACAATGAGCTGCATCAATCAATCCTGAATGCCTATTCAGGAGTGCAGGATTTAGGATGCACACCAAACAGGATGGAACCAGTTAAGTTGGATTCCAAATGCTTAATTACCAGGTAGTAACATGGACACAGATCAGAAAGCAGCCTACCTCAAGGTTGACCATAACAAAATTATGGGCAAGTTCAGAGATCTCCTTGGATTCAGCAAACTTTGGCTTTAAAGCTAATTAAAAGGGAGGGGGAAATAAAAATAAAGAGGTATGTAAAAACAGCGGAAAACATTTCAGATTTTCAAGCAGTATCAAAATCTCCACTTCATCTCTCCCTCCGGAAAGCTGGTACTTTACTGTAAGCAGTGAGTAAATGGAATGTGTGTATCAAACTCATGTAAACCAGTATTCTCGCTCAACTGCCTCATCCTTTAAGCTCAGCCATGACCCCAGCTTGTTTGTTTGCGATGGCAGTGCCATATTATGCCTGTCTTGATGAAATACAGTTACCATCAGCTACATTTTGAATGCAAAGCTCATGTTTCTCACGGCTACGTGATTTGCATGCAAAGGTTCATTAGAAATTTCAGCAAGCTCTAGTATTAACTACACTTACCTTTGCAAGCTCCACACCAGGACTTGTGAATGATAACCATAAGAGGCAAACCACTAAAAAAAAAAAAAAGGAAGGAAGAAAACTGTCAAAGAAAGCTTCCAGAAAGCCTCTAAATCAAATTCTTTTACATGTACATTTTAACAGTCAGGGCTTCCTCAAAGGCTCAATGTACAGAAAATAAGTGAGATGTAAAGAGATTCTGCTGAGTTCTAAGGTTGGCTTGCAAAAAGTTTTCCCAATCTTAAAACATGTCATATAACACTTTATTGTAACTGCTCACATAGAGAAGATTGTCTTTGGAAGACTTGCTCTTATTAGTTTAGGTTCCTCAGATACACAACTGCTCATGGGGTTTTTTTTACTGGATTACTGGAAATGGTGTTAGTGACACCAGCTGCTTGAGAGATCTCAGGATGGATTTTTGTGGCTGCTTATGGCAATGCAGTGGATGACAGCCACCCATCCATTCTCCTCCCCATTACAGCCCACATGTTTCAGTCACCTCCTGTGACCAAGACCCCCACTGAGCAACCATCAAACCCAGCAACCCTTTAGCTGTAAATAGATACGAAAGGAAATCTCTACTCAGCAGCGTTCAGTTATGATCTTTAGAACCAGGAAAGGGTGGAGAGGAAGCCATTAACATTTAGAGTCATTCAAAGAGAAGTTGGCCCTTTATAATTAACCAATATGTCATCACCTTCACACTGGGCTCTGTTTGCACTAAGGACCAAGAATACACATTGCCCTAGTAGAGCTTGCATTGCATCCAGTGTCCTCTCCCTGAAGATGAAAAACCACATTTTTCTTCATTGTTTCTACAGAGTCGCAAATTGTTTCACCTCTTTCCTGAGGAGAGGCCAATTTACGTCCGGAAAATACACACTGTTCTTATCAAGGACCAGTGGTTCACGTCGAAAGAGTTCAATCATCTGGCAATCAGTACTGCAAAATTTTTTTTTTTTTTTTTAAGAGAGATTTTCAAAGCAGATTTTAAATATAAGTGCTCACAGCCTTGCAATACCAATTCTTAGTGAGAACTCACAGAGGTTTGAAATAATGAATGTGTTTTCTCAGCTTTATTCTCTCTCCTTTGACTGGTAAGACAAACTTATTTACATCAAAACATTTTTGTAGTCATTTCTCAGTTTTGCAATGCATAAATCCCCCAGCAGTCGGTGTGACAGATTGGACTATTCCCTCTCAGGGAGCACTATACATACAATTAAAACTAAAACAACAATTTATGAGAATGAGGGGTGAAGCATCCACCAGAAAGTGAGAAGTTTATACAAACTGTACCTGTGTTATAGCAAACCCCCAATTATTGGAAACTAAATGCAAAACTAAGCTACCATCCCATCGGGTATGGACCTACGAGTTTCAGCAAGAACAGACACTGCAATTTTAGCTTGTTTTTCCTATGAGAGCACTCATTCTTAAACAATTAGTGTTTTTAAAGGTGTTTAATGATGACCTTGCAGAGAAAAGACATGGCAAGTTATTTCAATAAAATAGTCCTGCAGATTAATTGTTTAGTCCATTTAAGGCACACATTTTATTGATAAACCTGTTTGAGTTTGCTAAGCCTGCATCCTTTTGCAGTGCAGAGCTGCAAATCTCCCTCGGGTTCAGTCAGATTTTTTGAAACAGTCACATCCTAAAACACAGCCTGTTCTAATTCTGGACCTGAAGTCTCTTCTGCCGTTTGACGTTATCTGGAGGCAGCCCTGGAAAACCAATCTTCTTATTGAAGACACAGTCATCACCTTTTGGGCTTTCATATTCACACACTACTTTATTACTGAGGTTTATGTCTCCACAGGAGACTTCACTTGCTTGGGGATGCAACAGTTGCTCTCCTTCCTGATGGGGAGAATTCAGGGGTGTGGGGAAATGCACCCCTACAGATTGTCTCAGAAATAGTCTGCTCGGCTGCTGCAGGGATGCGGCACCCAGAACTGCTCCTGCCAACTATCCGAAACACGACGGGTGGGGATCCAGGCTCTTCTGGAAGGTGTGTTCTTACTGTCGCAAGTACTTCGACGACCACGGCCGCTGCCACCGGTTCACTGGATGCTGCGGCTCAGGTACTGCAGGAACATGCTGGCCAGCTGGGACATGTTCTCATCGCTGGGCTGCATCTTGGTGTAGCTGATGAACTGCCTGCGCAGCCGGCTCAGCTCGGCCAGGCTCACGGGCCGGCTCAGCACCAGCCCCTCGGCCAGGCCGGGGACGCGGACCGTGTCTCCGGGCAGCGCCCCGCCGCTCTGCGCGGCCATCACCGCGGCCAGCACGTCCTGCGTGACGCGGTCCAGGCGGTGCAGGAACTCCCCGGACTGCAGGGGCTGGGCGCGGGTGGAGCGGTGCGGGGGCGGCGGGGCGCTCTCGAACAGCGCGGCGCGGATGTCGCCCAGCGGCAGCGGCTCCTCCCCGCTCACCGTGAACAGCGGCCGGTCCCAGCGGCACGCCGGGTCGGGCTCCTCGAAGGGCGGCTCGTCGGGGCCGCCCCCGCCGCCGGCGCAGTGCAGGAGGCAGCGGGCCGTGCCCGCCTGCCGCGCCGCGCAGTACAGCTCGTAGCGGATGCTCCGCAGCTCGTTGCCCGCGTCCACGATCACCACGTCCCGCCGGCTCAGCCGCCGCTCCACCTCGGCCCGCAGCGCCGCCCGCCCGCCCTCCGCCTCGGACACGACGTGCGCGGCGCGCTCGGGGCCGCCCAGCGCCGCCCGCAGCTCCGCCGCCCGCCGGCTCTTGCCGCTGCCGGGCCGCCCGCACAGCACCACCAGCGGCATCGCCGCGCCGCCACCCACCCGGACGGGCGGGAACTGCTTCCGCCGGTCACACACACGGCGAGAGCACCCCCCGCTCCGGGTGGCAACACCGCCGTGCGGGCTGCTCCGCCCCTTCGGGCGTGCGGAACCGCCGAGCCCCCGCCTCCGGCACCGGGACACCGTCCTGACAGGCGTCCGGCTTAGAAACGCGACCGTGCGAGCTGTAGGAACGCTCGATCCCTGCGCTCGTCCGCAGGGAACTCAAAAACGAGACGCCTCCAGCATCCCCCGACGCATCCACGCTTCGCAGTTTATCGAACTGAAGTCTTGAAACTTCCCAGCCCACTGGCTCTGGTGCATCTTATTATTTCTCATCTCCTCCTGACCTAAGGTCAGACTTAGGAAAACAAGTCTACTTCTTAGGTTTATATTTGCTTTGTTATTAGTGCTTTCTCCCAGTCCTTCAGTAACGCTCAAATGCTGCTGAACTCAAATGAGTGAATGGGTCTGTAATTCCGACAGCGAGAGGGTGTGGATTACACCCACCCCTTCCTGCAGAGTCTCCTTGAGCAGGAATGCTCATCCTGCCTAAGCCTGAGAGCTCACAGCTCCCCATCCCTCCAGCCCCCCTCTGTCTCATTTTGAAGCTTCCTCTGCTTCACTGCAAAGTAATGCTCCAATTATACCTGTAAATACTGAAATAATATACTTTTTTCAAAAATATCCAGTTTTAGAAACTTTTAAGACCTCTGAACTGTACCATCTGGGTTAATTTGGTATCTACATTAGAGTAATGTATCAGTTTGAGAGCTGAACTCAAACAGCAAACCTGGAAGGCAAGAGGAATTTCTGCTCATGTCAGCATTGTCAGATCTAGGTTATAAATTTAAAAGCATACCATTTTCCTGCTCACATTTTAACAAGAAACAAGAAATTCTGAGGAGAAAAAATGTGAAAATATAATGTTTTACCTTTTTAGAGACTGTTATTTTTAGAGTCTGTTATTTTTAGAGTTTAAGCTTAACCAAATCAGGTTCTATCAGTTCACTAGTTTGAAACTTCCAGACTTTTTCCTGCAGATTGGAACAAAATATCTCAGGCTGAGGCCTCATCTATATAGGCACAAGGAATTTTAGGGAAGCTCTCAGCACTGCTGAATTCAAGGGGACTGAGCACTATTTACACATTCATTTGTGGGTTTGAGAACCATATCTTTCTTTACTATGGGAAATAATTATTTTATTCTCATTTCAAAGACATGCTAGGGCTTCAATGATTTAATTAGACTGCAGTGATTAAACCCAAGTGGTGCCTCAGCAAAGATATCAAAACTCTGTATTTTCTCTCTAATAAGCTGTAGGGATCTGAAGTCTCCTAAACCATCCTCATTTTTGTTAACAATGACTCTTTTCTGTGGATAAATTTAGGACTGATACAGAACCTTTGCGAATGCTTTTAAAGACACTTTTCTGTATTTAAAACTAGCAAACATACCTGGCTGCTGCCTCTTTCTTCCCATCTTCTAGTGTTCTCCAATGAATATGATCTCCAAAACCTGCCAGAGAGAAGGGTTTATAAATGCTGCATAATTTAGCATGTCAGCTAACAGAGGAAAACAGTCCAACCCTCAAGAGTATTTTCAGCTTATTTTATATTCTTTTTTTAAAGCCAGCTACAATCCCAGTTCCGGAAAGACTTCTGCAAATACTTACAACCCACAGAGTCGTATGAGGAATCCCACTGAAATTAATTAACAAAAAACCATACCATGCTAATGAATATTTATATCTATATGCAAACGACATCAAAATTCCCCAAATGGATATTAAAACTGAAGGGCCTTCTGATTATTCTCCATTCTTCTTCAATCTACGAACATTTATTAACTGATGAGTGACAAATTAAACATGTCAGCATTTGGCTTCCTAAATCCCACTGAATGTGAACTAAAGCAAAACTTAAAAATTCCTAGGCCAACATAATGATCATTAATTGCTCTAAAACTATTATGCTAATTATTGCTGCTGCTGATAATTGAAGAGTAAGAAAGAACACCACTACACAGATTTCTGAACGATAGAATGACTGAATGACAGGAAATATTTTATCCCATATCCAGATAACAAGTCTTGTTGAGTCAATTGACACAAGAGTGAGTCAGTGTATGTTTAACAGCTGCAAACCAGGGACTGCCAGGGTTGGGAATTTTTAGTAGCCAACAAAGCACATGGCCAAAAGCCACCTGGAGAGCGGAGATGAAGGAGATCCGGGAACTGTTCGAAGGGGAACTCCCTTGGAAGACCTCCTCAGAGGTCTTATGGCTCCAGTAATTAACAATTAGTGCACTGGATGATCAGACATCAGCCTCGGCTTGCCACTTCCCATCGCTGAGAGTTTGGATTAGTCAGCAACCCCCAGGGTGCTGAGGGGAGCAGATTTCAGGAGCTACCCAGAGGTCAGAGCCCCAGACTGCCCAGTGCTGACACAGGGGAAAGTGGACACTGTAGACAACTATGGCAAAGAAGCTGGAGAAAGCCTAAAACAGAGTCAGCAAATCCTCGTGGCACCTTAATTCAGTATCCGGGAGGTGTGGACAGTTGGCACAGTGTATTACCTGATCTTCCCTCCTGATATGAACCAATGTGAACACATATGACGCAACACATCAAACAGATGAGCTCGCAGGGAGGTGGGGATGCCCTGTCCACATCCAATCACACCCCAGCTGCTCGGGCAGCTTTGGACACAGGGCTACTTTTGGACAAGCTCAACGTACCCAAGCAAAAGCCAATAGGATTAGCAGAAGTCGTGTTTACCGAGAATATTGACACGTCAGCTATTTCAGTCACAGGCCAAAATGTTAGATTAGGGAAAGCCTTTTATTGTTCTAGCTGGGAAACCCTTTTTGAAAGCTTTTCTATACTTAAACCAAAATCCTATTTGTAGCAAGCTTCAGTATGTTTTTAAAACAATTACACAACACACTACGGACTGTTTCTTTTGAATGAAAGTCATCTGGGGAATTAAAGGAGGATGGCTGGCTGGGATCCACACCACAGAGCTTGGCTGTCATTGATCGAATTGGTTACTACCGGTCCTGAGGAGGAGATTTGCCTCTTAGGCAAAGCCACCACCTGGGGTGAAGCTCAGGCCCCGGCTAAACCCGGCTATTAGACACGGTAATTAGTCAAGGAGCCTCGGTGAGCCAAGAGAGGGGTGAGGAGCGGTCACCGAGGGCAAGGGAAGCCGAGGGCGGAGGGAAGCGCCATTCATCGCCTGCCAGGAGCTGGGCGGGCATCGAGGGGCTGCCCCGCAGGGCTCCGCGGAGCGCTTCGAAACGGGGCTCAGCCGGACAGAACCACGATGGCAGGGACAGTGCAAACCCCCCTCACCTCCAGCCCCCAGACCCGCGCTGTGTCCCCCCGCCCCCGGGCTGAGGGACCGGACCCGCGCCCGCGGCGGGGATACGAGTTGAGGAAAGCCCGAAGAAAGCGTTTTCCTGACCCTTTCCGAGCCCTCCCTCGGAGGAGGCGGCGGAGGCCGCCAGCACCAGGCACAGGCAGAGGACAGAGGCGGCCGCGGACTGAGCCTTCATGGTGTCGGCGCGGGCAGCGGAGCCACCGGGGACGGCCCCACAGCTCCGCACAGCACAGGACCCGGCGGGGTTTTTTTTTCCTTTCCTTTTTTTTTTTTTTCCTTCCCCGTTTTTTTAAAGCCCAGGAAGTGATGTGAGGCGGATGTGGGCGGTGCGCAGCCTTCGCCGCTGGGCTGGGGGGTGCCGGGGGAGGCACCCAGCGGGAGGGGATGCGGCGGGGTACGCGGAGCTGGGTTATTGCCCCGGATAAGTCCAGGGTTATCCCTGTGGGAGCAGGCAGCGGGAGGAGTGTGTGTGTATGGCGATCCGCTTGTATTTTCTCCTTCCCAAATAAACTCTTTTATCGCACTGCTCTCCGGAGTTGCCCAGCAGCTGTCGGGAAGGCAAAACCGGCCGCAAAGCGCCGTGCGTGAAGGAGGGTTCGCTAAGGGGGACAGCGGAGCACATGGTGACGCCTTCGGAGCCACCGCGCCCCGGGTTTGGGTCACCGGCCACCGCTCCCTGACCAGGGGCACCAGAGACTACAGCGGGACACCGCTCCTTGCCCCGGCGGCACCGCTGCCCGCCCCGGGACACTGTTTATTGCCCCAGGCCGCCATTCCCCGCCCCGGCACACGGGGTGTCTGTCCCTGCACCACCCGGAGACTACAACTCCCAGGAGACCCCGGGTCCCCCTGGTTCCCGCCTCTATGCAAATGAGACTGGGCGGCTCCGCCAATCGGCGGGCGGGCCGGCGCCGTCACGTGGCGAGGAGCTTCCTTTCTCTGTGCGCCTCTCTTTCCTTCTCCGGCCGCCATCTTGTTCTCGCCGCGTGTTGGCCGCGGGGGCTCCGCCGCGCTCAGGTGAGGGGGTCCCGCGGCTCCCGCGTCCCGCCGGCCCGCCCTCACCGTGCCCACGGGCGCCTGGGGCGGGGGGCTCGGTCCCGCCCCCGCCCGCCGCGCTGGGCCGTTCCCCGAGGAGGCGCCGAGGGAGCGAGGCCCTGCGGCGGGACGATGTGCGGGGGCTGCCCCGGCTCGGGGGGCCGCGGCCATACGGGCTCCTGAGGCATCAGCCTCGATCCCCTCTCGTTCCCCGTGCTCTGGGGGTGTCCGGCGAGCCGCCCCGAGCCTCCTCTCCCGCCGGTGCTGGTCCCTCTCCCCGGCACAAAGCACACGCGGAGGAGGCTTCCCCGTCATTCCCGGGATCTCGGATCCCTTGCTGGGGCACAGCAGCGGAACGCGTGCCTTGTGCTGAGAGGCTGGAGGTGTTTTCCCACCCATTACGGGTTTTTTTAGGGTTTTCAGTTTTTAAAGGTCCCACCTGACCCTTGGGAGAAGCCACTGGACTGAGTTCCCAGTCACTGAATGGGATCGCAGGGCTTCCAGAGGTTCCTGTGGGAAATCTGCCCCGATCTGAAGTCGCGGGATTCAGAGCTCTCTTATTAGTTACGAGTATCAGAAATTCACTCTATGGAAATAGTATTCGAAGTGGATTAGTGATGACTCTCTGGGCCCTCTTAAAGATAAGGGTGTTTCCCAGAAGCAGTTGTGCTGGTTTGGGTCTGGTTTGAGTTCGGTTCAGTACTTCCAAAAGTAAATTGGCACATTGGGTATTTCCCTCAGACTGATGCAGAATGCAGTGTCTTGTTGATTTGCCTCATTGTGACACAGGCATTTCAGCTAAATAGGCTGCTACGGGACCACTTTGAATTATTTAGGTCTTAAAGCTTTTTTTGTGTGTTTTTATTTGACACAGTGTTTTGAGTTAATGTTCTGCAAGTTTCAAAAAACCCCACTTCAATCTTAGGAATGCTTTGAAAATGGACTGTGACATTTTTTTTTCTTACTGTTTTGATTGTTAACTCGGGTTTTGTGTCTTGTTCTTATTCTTCAGACACATCACTATGAACCAAGAAAAACTGGCCAAGCTCCAAGCGCAGGTCCGAATAGGAGGAAAGGTAAGAAATCCATCAGAGTTGCTTTTCGAAACATGGGCTATAGTTCACAGAAGGGGAGAAAATATACTCCTGAGACTTGACAGATAATGATTTTTGTGTGATCTGTATCGTGGTGCTTCTACCTGAAATGCAAGTTTCAATTCCCAGCTGCTCGATGAGCAGTTTCCAGAGTGTAAGTTAATTCTGTTCTGTTAATTCAGTGACTTGTTGTGACCTGTGGAAGCTCCAGCTAAGCTTACCTGTTGGGTGTTCCAGTTCTGCCTTTCCCTTCTCCCTGTTAGGGATTTTCAGTGCCTGCTGCAGGCACTAACTCTGCATTGAGCTTTTCTTTTCTCTGGGCCAGCAGGTAGTTAATCTGACCAAAAAAAAAAAAAAAAGAAGGGCATGGAAGTTATTCCAGTGCAGGGGTCTCATTCCCCTGCCAAACTTCTACCAAAGTTTGCAAAGTAGAAATTCCAGAATTGCTGTCTGTGGAACACTTTAAAAATGTTAATTACTTGCTTACAAAAGCATGACCATTTTAAATCACTGTGTTTGTTCTTCATCCTGGAAAAAATAGAGTTCTTGGGGAAAATTTCTTATATTTTGCTTAGTAGTAAATAGTATTCTTGTAGTCTTGTAGTAAGGGAAAATACTGCTCTATTTGGTGTCTTTTAATCCTTTACACTGAAGAAAAACCTTAAAATTGAGACTGATGCTACAGCTGTAGGTAAAGGGACACAAGACTATAGAAGTGTCTCATAACTTGGAAGATGTTGCTCAGACTGTTGATAGGATTTTCACAATTAGTGTTGAGAAATACTGGGCAGAGCTGACTGTTGTCTCTTTCTGTTGATTCTTTCCCAGGGGACAGCTCGCAGAAAGAAGAAGGTGGTGCACAGAACAGCTACAGCTGATGACAAAAAACTTCAGAGTTCCCTCAAGAAACTGGCAGTAAATAACATTGCTGGCATTGAA